TCTTACCCTCCTTGCCCCCTCCTGACCTCCTCTGCCGGCCTTTGCTCTCCAATTCCCTGCTCTGCCGTGTAACGACGCAAATGCCAATCTGAGCATCCCGGGTTACGCCTTTGCTGTGTTACAATGGTATCGAGACGGGACCGCACGAATTCCGAAATAAACTTCGGGTCGGCGGTTCGATTCTGGCAACCAGCAAGTCGCAAATTGGCGATTTCATGGTGTAATGGATAAACCAGCGCACTGGCGCGAGGTGGGATGGCTCCTGTGCTCGAAATAATGGCCGAGGACGTCCATTGCTAAGTGGGGGGCAATGTAACGACGCAAATGCCAATCTGAGCATCCCGGGTTACGCCTTTGCTGTGTTACATGCCGTCTCTTGCTCTCCTCTGCCCTCCCTTGACCTGTTGAAATCTGTAACGACTTCAACTCCTACTGTCCTGGCTTCTGTAAGATGAATTGAACCATACTGCTTAAAACATCAGAGCCAGTTATGCATGATACCTCGCTAATTAGGAAAGTGTTACCTTACCAGATGGGAACTGCTTTAGTGATGTTAGGGCAATAAAGGAATGGCACTGCTTACATTGCTAACGTCATCCTTGAGCCTCACACTTTGGCATACCAAACACAACATGTTTGACAAGCAGTTTCAACCCGAGTATCTCTCAGCAGCCACCAGCTGGCCCACAAGGTTGAATGATGTGCATCCTGTCTCACGTGACAGCCAATAACTAATTCTGCGCCTACCCTAAGCCATGTTCCCAAAGCTTAGGATAGAAGACAAGATGTCAATGTTAAGTCATAGATCTGGCACTTAACAAAACTAAGAAAATGGGACCAAGCCCTGTAAGCATTTTTTCACTCTGCCATCCCCACGTATACACACTACTTTTATGAATACATAGGGAGGGTACGTACCCTCCCTCCATATCCTGAGACCTTCTCCACTGCATACAACCCAACGTTCTGCATGCAAACCCCACCTCTGCGCCTGCTTTGTACAGAACCAAGCAATTGCTAGTCCCTAATGTTGTGCCCTCCCTCGCCCTCTCCTGCTCTCCTCTGTCCTCCTTTGCTGTTCCCTGCCCTCTCCTGCTCTCTTCTGCCATCCACTTCCAACCCTTGCCCTCACTGCGGTCTTCCCACAACCCTTGCCTCCTCTGCTCTCCCCCATTCTCCTCTGTCCTCCTGTGACCTTTCTGGCCCTCTCCTGCCTTCCTCTGCCGTCCCTTGCCCTCCCTTGCCCCCCCCCCTGCTCTTCTCAACCGCCCTTTGCTCGCCTCTGCTGTCTATTGCCCTCCCTTACCATCTCTTGCTCCCTCCTATCATCCCCCACCTTCCTTCGGCCCCCCCTGTGCCGTAAACACAACCAAGCAACGTTGCTGGTATGTCACTGAGAAGAAACAGAAGAATGAAACCACACAGATTGCTCTGTTTGGTGACGACTTTGCCAGTAGATTCCAGTGATATGCCAGCAGTTAACTGGCAGTTAACTTAAGGGCCAGTCCATATGGTGCTTATCTACTTGAACATGCCAAGTCACTCAGACCTATACACCGCATGGTGCTGCAGCAGATTCTTTGTTCGGTGTCATACCTTCTGGATGATGCAATCCCCCTTTGCACCCAAGAAGAGCTATTAGATGCCGTGGCACATGCTCTGTCCCTAATGGAGATCTATTTCCCAAGTACAGAGTTGGACATTAAGGCCCATAATTTACTGCACCTCGTCGAACGTCTTTTCACCCTTGGTCCTTCGTATACAACGGCGATGTGGGGCTATGAAGCACTCATGGGGCGGCTAGTGAAGTTGGTCAAAAAGGTATGTTGCGGTTCATAATGAATGGCCATACTGCCGTCCCTTTTCCTTGCTAGCCATGTGCATGCTGTGGGTGTATCATGATCACCCTCATTTCCCTCCCACGTCTGTCACCCTGATTACCCAGGAAGTTGTGTACCTTTATATGTGCTTAAAAGTGTCTGCCTCTATGTGTACACATGTGCAAGATACCGTTTCCAGCAATCATTTCGTCTGCTGTCACCATGCATGCTTTTTGAATATCATTCATCGCACACTCTGCACGATTTGCTTTCCCACTCCATCCCAGACAGATTCACCAGAAGTCACAGTTATGCGGTCTTGGTATATTATTGAACGAGCACTCAAGTATGCTTACCGTAACCAAAGCACAGTCATGCTAGATGGTATCCTTCCCAAGGGAGTAGCAGTTACTAAGGAGATACACAGCTACTGGACCTGGCGCAATGAAAAGGCTCCCTCAGTTGAGCCTTTGCGCATCGATGGAGCTGGTGGACTTAGGCTCCTGGCATCCTTATCATCTGTCCAACGCTCCCAGCTACATGAAATGTACATTCAACATGACCCAAGATACAAGGAACTGTGGGCTGCATTTCTGGAGTGGCTATGGGCTCAGTGGCCTGACCATGATACCAGTGCTGGGGTAAGTCATGGGTGGGTTGTATGTCCAACCGTTCTTACCTGCTGAGCCGGATGTATTGATTACCATCCTTCCAAAATGTGCCAATGTTGATTCCAGTCCGTATGCAAGGAAGTGCAAGGTGCGCTTGCAAGTGTGAAGGTGGATGGCAATTCTCCAAGATGTAAAGTCCTGACACGCGACCGAATCTCTCAAGCAGTGGACTTCAAATCCTTGGTAGGATGGGCTGAGCTGTGCATGGGTACGTATGTCTGGTTGAAATGAGCATCATGGTGTACTTACCGAACGTCGGCAAATGATATTACGCCTTGCAGGCCATCCAGGACTCGGTACTAAGGAACTTGTGGCCGTTGGAAATCTGGCGCACTAGTGATGCACTCAAGGAGCCATACAAATTTGATGTACCACCAAGCTTCAGTGAGCGTCTTGCAGGTGTACGCTTAAATGACTGTATCGACATCAAAGCTGTGTACCGGCGTAGCAAGGATAACTCCCATCCAAATGATGTGCATACATGGTTCATGTGCAGGAAGTGTGCCGCTGTGCCAGAAATTGGATGGTGGGTTGGAAAGGTTGCAAAGGCATGGCGCCTGTCATCCTACCGTACTGATCAAATTGATGATGTGGTGCTGGAGGTTTCTGAGTGGTATGAGCCATCCTTGCCTCTCCTTGATGATTACATGAATGTGCCAGTCCTGCGAATGTCAAAATCGAACCCTTTTTACTTGGCTAAGGATGTAGCTCCAGTTTGTGT